CAGGGAATTGTCACTTTTTTTTTCTCAACAATTTTTAATTGACAGTCCTCCTCTCTGCCTAAAACAGAATGATGTGTTTGGTTCTGCAGCTGCCTGTGATATTTACGTCATCTCTCCCAGGAGACTGCAGGAACACGTAGCAGTCAGGGGCCGGGTCTGGCAAATAAACAGACACGGCTACCTGCACACAGAGGAGGAAGCCAGCTGCAGAGGACCAAGATGACAGTGCAGGATTGGCTGTGTGGGAACCTGAGCATTGGAGTGCAGCAGGACAACACTTGATTCACTGTGCTATGAAGAGCAATGCATTTTAAGTGAGGGAAAAAAAAAAACCGTTGGCGGATGGAAGGCTGGATCTGAGTACTGTTTTAACCCCTTCATGCCAATCATACACAAATATGTGGCCCCACTGGACTGCACTTTGCTCACTGTACTATGAAGAGCAATACATTTTAAGTGGGGGGGAAAAAAAAAAAAAACGGCGGGTGGAAGGCTGGATCTGAGTACTGTTTTGACCCCTTCTGGCCAATCGTACACAAATATGTGGTTCCACTGGACTGCGCTTTTTAAGTGGGGCTGCATATTTTGCGTACCTGTCTGTGCTGGGAGTGTGCCGCACGTCATGCTCCCTGAACAGAGACTGGGTCTCACCAAGAGCCCAGGGTCCTGTGGTGATCAGGACTCTAAACTCCTGATACTGAGTCACCTGATCGCTGTGATGGCCTCTGATTGGTCAGTCACTGTGACGCCCACTCCCGTGTTTTCTCTTTGAATGGAGGTGAGAGACGCATTGTATCTCTCTGTCCTTTCAGAGCAAAGTAAAATAGAAAACCCTAGCTCAAGGTTTTATCTAGGTTAGTGTTTGGGTGAAGGTTAAAGCCAGTATTTTTTTTTTTTTTTGTGCAGTGTAGTTTAAGCAGGATAAAAAAAAAAACGCAAAATGCACACCTCTCCCCCATCGGTGTTCCTTGGCAATTGGTGGGAATCTCTGGCCAGGACCTGGTGATCAACAGCTGAAGCCACCAGTGGCGGTGTGGGGTAGGAAGGTGTGCTTGCCCCCTACCTGGAAATACAAAGTCACGTGTATATATATATATATATATGTATATGTGTTTTTGAGCGTCCCTGTAGCAGTATGATGCAGGGAGGGAGTCTCACACCAGATACTACACACATCTAGAAGAAATACAAACCTATTACAGTAATAATACAAACTCCTCATGTCTACAGACAATATTTCAGCTTTAATATTTTAATTAGGAAGGAGATTACACACAGATTGCTATTATTGTCCCTGAAAGATGTATGTAGATGGTGGTTTTTCTAACCTACCACCACACACATAGCTTGTGGTGGATGTTTTCTTATTCACTTTTTTCTTTTTCTTTTTTTTTTCTTTCAATGGTTTTATTAATTTTTGAACAATAGAAAACATAGCCCAAAGCTATGCCTACACAGGGGCTAGCAATGACACATAAGGTGAAAGACAGTGTTATAAACACCAACAGTGAATCAGGACCAAGGACAGGTGTAAACTGCCTCACAAAAAAACAGACAAAAACAAATGAGAAAAAAGGGAGAGAAGACAAAAAAACAGAATTGGGTTCGGGAACGCCTGGACCAATCAGCATAGGCCCAAGCTGGCCGCGGGGATCATGGGAAAAGCATATGTTGGCCATGGCTCCCATACTTTCTGAAATTTAAGTTGAGAGTCATTGCGAATACGAGACGTCTGTTCATTGAGCATCAGAGCGATCATACGATCCCGCACCCCCTGAAGGAACAGATGCACTCTTCCAGGCCTGAGCAATTGTTCTGATTCCCAACAAAAACAAATAGGCCAACTTTTGCTGGAGAGCCAACAAGCCCGGTATTGGACAATGGAGCAGGGTATACTGGGCCTCCCTGCTTAGAGAAAGGTGGAACAAAGTATAAAGAAGGCCAAATACACAAGACCAAAAACGAATCAATTGTGGGCATGACCACCATATATGTAGCACATTCCTTAGATGACCACAACCCCGAAAGCAGTGGTCACTATAGTATGGGTTCGCCCAGGCCACACGGGCCGGGACCCAATACTAATGGAACAGTACCTTGTACGCTGCATCCAACGTGGCCGTATTAAATTAACATTTAGCTACAAAAGACCAGGCCCTATTCCAGTCCTACAAATCCACGACCGCCACCAGGTTCCGCTTCCATTGGACAACATATGAAAGGGAAGAATGCGCAGGACCCTTATTCAGGGATGCATAAAGGATGAAGATAAGACCCGGAGCACCAGGGTACTGTTTCATATTCACATTTTTACTCACCAGTTGTCATTTTCAGGATGGGTTTGTGTCTGATTGGCTTCTGTACAATTCTCAGTCCAATCTACTGGACCTATTGGTGAAACCAGCCCAGTGTTCTTTAGCACTAGTGTTTGTTGGCCACATGGTGGCAGCATTGTGTTAGATAATTCCTATATTGTGTATATAGACCCTCAACACCTGATCCCACTGATCCAGACTATGCAATTGAGCGACTTGTAGTGAAATCACATGCAGGGGCGGACTGACAACTCATGGGGCCCCCGTGCAATAGGGGATCATGGGACCCCTGTATCCTTGCCCACACTCAAAACACACCCAAAAAAGCCTATGAAAGATACCAGGGGCATCTCATGGGGCCCCCCTACTGACCACGGGCCCTCGGGCAGCGCCCAAGTTCCCAAATGGTCAGTTCGTCCCTGGTCACATGATTACAAAGTCAGATGACATGCTGATTTGAGGTGCGATTTGCAAGACATCTGACACAGATGTCTATGCAAATCTCACCAAAACTAGTGCATGCACTACTACTTTAGAAATTGATGCGGCTCTGACCAAGTCAGAACCCCACAAATATGACCGCTGTAATTGCGGATAATAGGGTGCCACTTGCCATGCGACTTCCAAGTCTTATGACATGCAAATCTCATGCCAAGTCGCACACGGTCTGACTGGGGACTAAACCCCCAAACCACAACTGTCATATACTGCAGCTCATAATATACATATGAAGTGCAGCGCTTAAAAAAAATCACAAATAATTAGTGAAAAAAAGTCGTCCATCATAAGAGTTGAAATAAAGAAAAAAGTCCCCAAAGGCCATGATGAAACAGGAAAACTCCAAGGATAGCTGATGTGTCGCCAACCACTCCCAGAAAAGGCTTACCAGAAAGGTATGACCCCCTGTTAAGAGCAGTCCATCGCACTTTGTTGTATGACAACCAGAAGGCTGAAAACCAAATCTTCCTCTGGATCCTCAAGAGAGAAATGCCAAAGATCCTCCAGTTAGGGTAGCAGGTGACCATAGATGGAAAAATCTGATCAAAAGACTCTTCACAGAATCGGACAATGTGATTGTATCCTAGTGCTTGGTGTTCGGAAGATAGTGAATAAAGCTCAAAATCCTTCTAATAGCTTTTATTTCCATACACACAAATGCATTGGGAACACTACACATTCTATTCCAAATCAAAACATGAAGAAAAATATATCAAATTTGTGCTGTTCCTCTAAAAAAAATTGAAGAAAAGTGAATATTAGACGGTTCAAAAAAATAGCAGTGTTTGTATTCTTCTTTACAAACTCAAACATTCACTATATAAACTGAAAAATGTTTGAAGATTTTGCTTTCCTTTGAATCACTTAATGAATATTTGGTTGTAGTCGCACTGTTTCTGAGAACTGCTGTACATCTGTGTTGCATGGAGTCAACCAACTTCTGGCCCCTGTGATCAGGTATTCCAGCCCAGGATGATTGGACTACATTCCACAGTTCTTCTCTATTTCTTGGTTTTGCCTCAGAAACTGCATTTTTGATGTCACCCCACAAGTTTTCTATTGGATTAAGATCCGGGGATTGGGCTGGCCACTCCATAACGTCAATCTTGTTGGTCTGGAACCAAGATGTTGCACGTTTACTGGTGTGTTTGGGGTCGTTGTCTTGTTGGAACACCCATTTCAAGGGCATTTCCTCTTCAGCATAAGGCAGCATGACCTCTTCAAGTATTCTGATGTATTCAAACTGATCCATGATCCCTGGTATGTGATAAATAGGCCCAACACCGTAGTATGAGAAACATCCCCATATCATGATGCTTGCACCACCATGCTGAATATCAGTGCCACCCACCTGTGCCCATCAGTGCTGCCTATCAGTGCAGACTCATCAATGCACATCAGTGATGGAGAAAAAATTACCTGTTTGCAAAATTTTATAATAGAAACAAAGAAAAACTTTTACTTCAAATTTTTTGCTGTTTTTGTTTATAGCGCAAAAAATAAAACACTCAGTAAATACCACCAAAAGAAAGCTCTATTTGTGTGAAAACTATTATAAAAATGTCATATGGGTGCAGTGTTGTATTACCGCGCAATTGTCATTCAAAGTGCGACAGCGCTGAAAATTGGCCTGGCAGGAAGGGGGTATAAGTGCCCTGTAGGGAAGTGGTTAAAGTGTTACTAAACCCACAACAGAAAAATCAGTCTGTAGATGCAGTAAAGCATGCTGGTTATACTCACAGTGGAATCTAAGAGATCAATCCTTAACATTGTGTAAAAAGGCTGTTTGATCCTGACTTCTCTGATCCTCCCCTTCTTCCATAGTCCTCAATCCATCTTCTGATAGTACAGAGCCTTGGGGGCAAGCTGTATATGCTCAGCTTGGTGTGTATTGCTAGAGAGTTTTTTTTTTTCCTCTTGGGAAAGTGCATATGATCGGTACAGGTCCAAACAGCACTGTCCAGAGGGTCAGGGGTCATGCAGCCTCATAGGACAATCTGGGGAGAATGAAAACTCTTCCTACAAGCTTTAACCAGTGCTGGGCTGGACACTGATAGACGTCACAAGACTGCTCTAACTGCTGAGGAGAAAAGGTATTTAGCAGTTTATATTTACTAAAATAATTGCATTTCCATGTTGTGTGTACTGTGGGAGACCAGATATAGTGAATGCAGGGTCCGGGGAGACCAGATATAGTGAATGCGGGGTCCTGGGAGACCAGATATAGTAAATGCAGGGTCCGGGGTGACCGGATATAGTGAATGCAGGGTCCGGGGAGACCGGATATAGTGAATGCAGGGTCCGGGGAGAGCGGATATAGTGAATGCAGGGTTCGCGGAGACCGGATATAGTGAATGCAGGGTCTGGGAGACTGGATATAGTGAATGCAGGGTCCGGGAGACTGGATATAGTGAATGCAGGGCCTGTGGAGACCGGATATAGTGAATGCAGGGTCCGGGGAGACCGGATATAGTGAATGCAGGGTCTGGGAGACTGGATATAGTGAATGCAGGGTCCGGGGAGACTGGATATAGTGAATGCAGGGTCCGGGGAGACCGGATATAGTGAATGCAGGGTCCGGGAGACCGGATTTAGTGAATGCAGGGTCCGGGGAGAGCGGATATAGTGAATGCAGGGTCCGGGGAGTGCTGAAAAACATGGCAAAATGCGATAAACCGCCGCAAACCTGTGGTTTTTTACTTTTTTTTTTACCCAAAAAAAATTTATTTTTGGTAAAAAAACGCAATCGCGGGAAAAACGCAGCTAAACGCTAATGTAAAACTGCTGAAAAACATGTTTTTTAATGTGACTTTACACAGCTAATGTTACCAGTGTTAACAAAATGTCCCGTGTGCATGAGGACTTACATGCGAGAACCCCAGCATTCAAAGCCAATCATTCCCAGGTGATTGGTGCATGAGCAATCACATGATTGGTTGCGATCAGCTGCAGGAGCAGACAGCTTCCCATTGCTTTCAACAACTTTTTTTTACAGCTTTGCTAACACTAGTGTAAAAAGTTACATAGGATCATGTGATAGGAGGTTGCAAAGTGTAAAATGGTTACATAGGACCATGTGATAGGAGGTTGCAAAGTGTAAAATGGTTACATAGGACCATGTGATAGGAGGTTGCAAAGTGTAAAATGGTTACATGGGACCACGTGATACAAGGTTGCAAAGTGTAAAATGGTTACATGGGACCACGTGATACGAGGCTGCAAAGTGTAAAATGGTTACATGGGACCACGTGATACGAGGCTGCAAAGTGTAAAATGGTTACATGGGACCACGTGATACGAGGCTGCAAAGTGTAAAATGGTTACATGGGACCACGTGATACGAGGCTGCAAAGTGTAAAATGGTTACATAGGATCATACAAATCATGTTACAGCTTCTTATCCAGTTTTTGTTTTCAGCATTTGCTGTTTGTAAATACAAACCATTGATATTGTCAGCAATGGACTACACAGTGCAGTGCTGGGCACGCCATATGTACTCCTGCCTTAAAAATGATTATTTTAGCCTACAAATTGTCAGTTGGGGGTTGTGCCGTTTCCCTCCATGCACCCCTGCCACTACAACCAGCCACTTTAAAGGTTTATATATATATATATATATCTGTGTTTTAGCATTACCCGCTGTGATCTCTGTCTTTTCATACTAAACAGCGCAGTCCCAAGTTTTTCTATTCCCAGCCTGACCGGGGTGCTTATTTCAGATTGGATCCCAGCTAGCCTAAAGCTGTGTATACACGAAGGCTCCATTCCCACTTGGGCGTTTCACATCGTGGGCCGAATTGCTGTGATTTGAAAATGCTGTGAAAATGTGCGTTCAGGTGCCATTCATTTCAAAGGTTCTGGAACCATTTTTGGGCATTGGATGTCCCGTGGTTTTGTTTGCTCATTCTCGGCAAACACGCCTCTCATATTCAGGTGACATTGAAATGAACATGCGATTGCGCGTTTTCAGATTGCGTCTAGAATTGTAGCAATTCTGCCCACCATTTGAAATACCCAAGTCTGAATGGAGCCTAATTGAATTTTGAATGCAAATGTGTGTGCAAAATCTTAGTACATGAATGTCGTTTGAAAGTAGTTAAAGATTTTGTTTGATTTTGGAATGAATGACCAAACAAAACCACATACACTGTTAGATATTTGCCCATTTGAGAGAAAAATTTCCATATTGCTCCTTTTAAATTTTCTGTAACGTTACACATACGAGAGCCGTGGGTAATGGCTGGTTCTTCCCTAGTCCTACAGAGGCTGCCCACCACCCTGAGCACTAGTCCATACGCTCCAGCTGCAATAACTGATGTCTTTTTGAAATATAGAATATTGCTTGAAGAATTTTAAACGAGAGGGGTTAGGGCATAGGATGCTCCAAAACGCTGCACAGTAACAAGAGGACACTTTTCTCCAGGATTCTGGAGAGGCCAGGGGGCAACGGCCAGTATGCTGAGACCTTATGAGAACTGTCTCAGCCCACAGCTAAAGAAACAAAGAACACAGCGCCTCTAAGTATATACTGTGATAATATTTAATAGAAGGTAAGTATAGCAACTCACATCTTTCATATTGAAAACCAGCTCATAGGGAGGTGATTTAAAACGGCTGTAGCCAGATGTAAGGTGACTGATCCAGAGAGGAGGTAGCCGTGGTCCGCCAGCAGGTGGTGCTGTATCAGGTGAAGCATAGGTGGTGAAGTCTGGCTGAGTCTCCAAAATGTCTGGAGTTGGGCATCTGATGTCATCAGTGTGCGATGCGTTTCTGATAATGCGTGGGACCAAGGTCGGCTGGCGCGCTCTTTCATCAGGCAATCCACAGCTACACTACCACTGACACTTACAGTACATCCCAAAAGCATACATTTGCCAGGGATCACAATTCAAGGTCAGTACTCACAAGTCCCCAGGACAGCTGCACACCTTCCAGCTTCCTCCGGACATGGTCCAATGAGGGAGGTGATCCTTCAGACCCGATCCTGTATAGCTAAGTCCTACAACCCACTCCTTGCCACAGCCGAAACCTCAAAGAATAGCTGCACAATCCACAGCCTATCTCAGGGCAGCAGCTTCAGAGGCTTTGGAACCCTCCCTGCCCAGGAAAGGACATTCTCTTCAGGGGCATCAGACCATTTATCACCTCCCAAGCCACCTTCTGGACACTCCTCTCCAGGGATTGGTTAGGCCATACTAAATATTCAGGTTGCTCGTTTGAATCTCCCTCCCTATGCTCTGGAAGATTGTTCCAGGGCCACGGAAGCAATCAAACTCCCAGCTTGTGAAACCATGAACAGTGCGGGGCAATCAATCACCGCTCCCTTAACTACAGCAGGAGCCAAAAACTAAATTTACCTAGCACTCTACACTACACTACATTTCTCTTCACTGCAGTCAAAAATAAATGTCAATTTGATCCAATTAATGATACAAGCAAATGGACAGCTAAAAATGTAAACAAAAAATTATACTGATGTATACCCAGCTTTAGACTCAAAAGGTACAGAGGAGAATTGTCTACTTATTTTCAAGAATCACAGAAAATCACACATTGTGTGTCTCAAGATGGATTAAACTGCATTCAATTCTACCTCAACTGTCTTTTTGGTGAGTTAAACTGCCTTTGAATTTTGTCAAGACTGCAGGCCACCATATTCTGGCTACAGAGTGTCTCAGGAGCTATGACTCTTACATAATGCAACATTTAAGATAGGATCATCACTCGCCACAGACATAAGTTGCTTTGTTCAGAGCTGATTTTCTCATTGAACACATCTTAGTCCTCATGCCCACGGGATGTTTTTACAGCGGCTGTTTTTGGCTTTTGACATTTTTTTTCTTCAGCCAGTAAACTCCCCAGCATGCTATCCTATGTGTTCATACACACTGCAATCAGCGTCTTTTGGCTGGAAAAAAACCAGGACTAGTGGGTTTCTAGAGGAGTTTGTTAGCTGTAAAAACGCTCTAAGGGCTCATGTACACTGCAGCTGATAAACTCACGTTTAGGAGCTGTTCAGCGTTTTTTTTCAGCAGCCTCTGAACTCACCCTAATGTTTTCCTATGTGCTCGTTCAGCAGATGATTTTTTCAGCGTTTCAAACGCAAAACGCTTGTAAACACGGCAAATCGCGTTTATAAGCATTTGCGTTTGAAAAATTCTTTTAACTCTTCTAGTTCCAGATGCCTTTTTTCATCATGAAAAATGCATGCAAAGCGTTTTTAAGGTACTCAAATGGACAAAACACTGAACACAGGATGTTCCTGTCAAGCTTGTCACACATGGTAATGACCAATTCACACCTCAGACCTCTCCTACCCTTGGAAACAAAAGACATGTTAATGACCATTCACACCTCAAATTCCTCATGCAGACCCCCTGCCAGTTGGCCTTAATGACTCCCCCACCAGACACCTTTCCCACCCTTGGAAACAAAAGAAATGTTAATGAGCAACTCACACCTAAGATAATCTCAACACATACTTCTGTCTCTGCTTCTACTCTCTGTATTTCTCTGAAACAGTCTGAAATAGTTGTTAATTTACCACTTTTCAGTGCATTCTGGGCCTTTGGGAGGTTCTCCTGTGCTTATCTTTAAAAAACGCTTCTAAACGCAAACGCACATAAACGCGTTATGCAAACTTGTCTAAGCAGACTTTTTTTAACCTACGTTTTCCAGCAGTCATTTTCCATCATTCAGAAGTGTCCCATGTGAAAAATGCAGCAAAATGCAGGTGAATTGCCGCAAAGCAGCGTTTTTGAATTTTTTTTACCAAAAAACCTCTAAAAACATAAACGCGGCTAAACGCTAATACAAAAACACCAAAACTGCTGAAAAACTCACATTAGCTAACGTTACCAGCGTTATTAAAATGCACTGTGTGCTTGGAGACCAAGGATACACGCCAGTTCACTCCTGGCACTGGCAAAGTGCACCATGGCCCACAACTAGCTCCATATCCTGCAGGTTCTCCCAGAGGTGGGGAAGCTGTTTAGGATGGAGGTGTCTGCTGCATGCTCTGCATTCATTGAATTGGGTGGTGGTGTCCTTTTGAGTGAACAATGGAGTCATTGTGGATTTTCCAAAGTGTCACAGGCTCCTGGGATCTGCAGGGCCAATATGCCTCCTGTCTTCTGCTCTTTATACTGTAAATGCACCTTCGAGAACTTTCCTGCTGCCATAAGGAGTTCAGGAGAAAGGGAATAGAGATCAAAATGGAAAACCAACCCTTTTTTGTGGTCCCATGTGGCCACCAAATTTGTACTGCACTAATTTTGTCAATGCTACTAAAAGAAAAAAAAAAAGGAATTGTATCCACCAACTGTATCTGATTTTCTTATCATCCCTTCAATGACCTCATGTGATAATATTTTCTACTATCATGTTGCTAACGAGATGACATGCGCACATTATTATTCAGTTTACAGTCTCAGAGGACAATCTATTTTTATAATAGTTTTAACCTTTCACATGATCTCTCGCAGGCAGATGCCATGAAAGCATTTCCCTGTATTCTCACCCAGAATGCACTGCGGCAGATGGTCACAAGGATGATCCTACACAGGATGCCGCTAATCCCAGGCCTCCCCCAGAAGGATGTGTGACTCTTAAAGTAAACCCGTCATCCATCTATAGTGGCTGAGCTTGTCTGGTGGATGGATAATGGGGCACCAGAATGTGCAGATTTCTTCCAGAGCACCTGGAGAGCCCACAATTCCCTGGTTATCTATTATGCAAATGCATTAGTTTTACTTATAATAGGTCAGTCCTTTGCCTGTCTCCTCCCACCACCTTCACTCGCCTATTAGTCGATCCTTTCCGCAATCGCGCAGACCAACAGAATGGGTAGGTGTGCTAAAGATGGCGCCCCAAGATTTACGATGAAGCGATCTACAAATATGTTATTATATCAGTTATACTCGGCAGGTGAATGCATTCGGCAATTTCTGATTTCAGTATCCAGGAGAGAAATGCAAAAGAATCAAAGCACAGCATCAAGTACAGCCAATGCTGCAAACCACCGCACAACACACCCAACATCAACCAATACTTGGCTGTCAGGGAGCACCCCAAGGTTTTCAGGAACCTTTGACACCTGTGTCTACAGAGATACCCAATGTATGGCCAACTGACCTCTGCCCTAAAAAAAGGGATGTAATTGCAGCAGGAGCGGACTGACAACTCATGGGCCCCCCGGGCAATAGGGGATCATGGGGCCCCTGTGTCCTTGCCCACAATCAAAGCACACCCAAAAAAGCCTATAAAAAGGTACCAGGGGCATTTCATGGGGCCCCCTACTGGCCCCGGGTCCTCGGGCAGTGCCTGAATGCTCGAATGGTCAGTCCGCCCCTGAATTGCAGCTATTGCTGATAGTGTCTAAGAAGCATAGGGGGCCTATAGCTGTCTTCCTACACATTGATCTACACCAGGGGTCTCCAAACTATGGCCCACAGGTCACATCCAGCCCACAGCTAGAGTCAGTGGTGTTTCCTCAGTGCGCAAAGATTGAGGACTAAAGTCAGCCGAGGCTGTCCTATGGTCTCCCCTTCAATCCTCTCCAACATACAGCTAAACAATGTAAGAGGGGGCTCTGATGTAAGAGGGGATTTTAATGGGGATCCTGACAAAAGGAGGAGTTTTCTGATAGGAACCATGATATAAGAGGGACTGTAATGTAAAGGGAACTCTAATGGGGACCCTTATCTAATGGGGGGGGGGGGGGGGGGGAGTCTGATGGGGATTTTTTTTGGTTTGCAGATAATTGTAAACTGTACAATATGGCCCTCATACTTAAGAGTTTGCAAACAAAAGAAATGTATATCTTACATTACTACCCGTCAAAAGTTTTAGAACACCCCAACTTTTCCAGTTTTTATTGAAATTTTAAATAGTTTAAGTCCAGTGCAGGGGCGGACTGACCATTTGGAAACTCGGGCACTGCCTGAGGGCCCGGGGTCAGTAGGGGGCCCCATGAGATGCCCCTGGTACCTTTTTCATAGGCTTTTTTGAGTTTGGGCAAGGACACAGGGCCCCATGATCCCCTATTGCCCGGGGCCCCCATGAGTTGTCAGTCCGCCCCTGGTAAGATAAGATGTAATCTGCCAAAGGAGAAAAAGAGTTTGGGTCAACAAAACCTAAAAAATAAAATGTACATTTCAGGGAAGAACGAATAGGTTAATGTGGTAGTAAATTGCTTCACAAAAAAAAAAACAACACTTGCAAGGTAAAGGCATAATGTGCTAGTACACATCGCATACTAGCACATTATGAAGGACTTAGCTTGAAACGAAGCTCTCCAGCGGAGTGCTGCCACAGCTCCCCAGGGTATCCATCTTCACCTGGTCTTCCTTCTGGGTTTGTGAGCTCTGGCCGGCTGACAGGCTGAGCCGTGATGATGTCACTCCCGTGCATGCGCAGGAGTCCCAGGCCATGGCACAGTGCTCTGAAGGAATGACATGGGTATGCCTTTCCTTCAGAGCGCATGCGCCAGCTATCAAAAAGGACTAATATCTCCTAAACGGTGCACATTTAGGAGATATTAGTTTTACCTACAGGTGAGCTTTATTATAAACTTACCTGTAGGTCAAATTATTAAAGAAGAGTTTACTACCACTGTAATAACACAGAGTTTTCCTGCAGCAATGTAAGTAAATTAATCCTTGAAAGTTTATATAAACAATTCCTACAGGTGTCCCAACTTTTGATTACTTACAAGCTCTCTGTATAAAAGCATTGTTGAAACAGACTTTGTTACTACACCATCGTATGCAATAATCCGACAGTATTGTGCTGCATGAAGTAGTATATTGGTCTCAAAATGGGGATAGAAAGGAATACAGACAGACCATTATATCCCTTAAAATGGTAGGTCTTTCCTTTAGTCCTCAGACACACTGGACGTTTTTACAGCGGCTGTTTTTTGGCTTTCGAGGGTTTTTTCAACAGCCAGTAAACATGCCCGATCACCGAAAAGGGGAGGAACCAGGAGCAGACTGACCATTTGGAAACTCGGGCACTGCCCGAGGGCCCGGGGTCAGTAGGGGGCCCCATGAGATGCCCCTGGTACCTTTTTCATAGGCTTTTTTGAGTTTGGGCAAGGACACAGGGGCCCCATGATCCCCTATTGCCTGGGGGCCCCATGAGTTGTCAGTCCACCCCTGGGAGGAACCACAAAAATCAGCCAGTGCCATTGACCCACTAACAGAGCTAAAATCAGCCGATTATTCTTAGGTGCGGTTTTTGGATGAAATTGGTCGAATTTCAACCCATGTATGGCTGGCATAAGGCTGCATTCACAGTTGCAAATGGGCCCAACAACCATTAGTCCTCAGGCACACGGGACATTTTTACAGCGGCTGTTTTTGGCTTTCGAGAGCTTTTTCAACAGCCAGTAAACTTCCCAGCATGTTAGCCTATGTGTCCATGCACACACAGACTGTGATCAACGTTTTTTGGCTAGCAAAACCCCAGGACTAGTGGATTTCTGGAGGAGTTTTTTTAACCGTAAAATGCTCTAACGCTGAAAAAACGCAGTAAAATGCAGTAAAATGCCGCCAACTGGCGTTTTTGGGACGTTTTTCTGACCCCAAAAAATTTTATTTGGTAAAAAAAATGCTACAAAACACAAAAAAAACGCAAATGCGGAAAAACACAGCTAAACACTAATGCAAAAATACTAAATAAAGCTGAAAACCGCATGTTTTTAACGTGACTTTACATAGCTAACGTTACCAGCGGTATCAAAGCGCCCCATGTGCATGGAGCCTTAGAGAAATTGCAAAGAAGCCAAGGTGTCAGTGAGCACAGTTTCCTACTCCATCAAAAGGAACTTAGAAACTGGAGGAAACTCTGAGGGAAGGAGGTCTGACAGACTCAAAGCCACAAAGTTTCTGAGGGTCAGCAGCTTGCATGAGAGGAGGCTCACAGAACAGCAGCTTTGAGCACAGTTTAACACTGAAATGAGCAAGTCTCAGTTTCAAGAAGAGAAGACTTCGAGTTACAGGTTTGACAGGTTGAGTGGCTGTAAGAAGACTATGGCTGAGATGGCAAAATATGAAAAAAGAGGCTTTTGATCACTTTCTCCTCCATGTTTGACAGGAACCATCTTTTCACCTACCCTGCCTGCTGAGCCTAAGATCTCCCACATTTTGATCGGTTCATAAGACCTTCTTCCAGTCTTCATCATTCCTCCTCCATGTTTGACAGGAACCATCTTTTCACCTACCCTGCGTGCTGAGCCTAAGATCTCACATTTTGATCGGTTCATAAGACCTTCTTCCAGTCTTCATGGCAAAGCACCATTAGTGGAATGATGAAGACTTTAAGAAGGTCTTATGAACCGATCAAAATGTGAGATCTTAGGCTCAGCACGCAGGGTAGGTGAAAAGATGGCTCCTGTCAAACATGGAGGAGAAAGTGAATGGCATCCTGAATCCTGAACCAAAACTGCCACCACAGCATTTTGCAGCACCCTCCAATAGCCTCTGGAATACACCTGGTTGGTCAGGGGTTCATCCTACAGGAAGATAATGACCTGTATCATGCCTCCAGGCTGTATGTAGTAACCACTGTTGTTTTTTCCCCTTATTATATATAGAAGGGAAAAAAAAATGAAAACTTTGAAAAAAAAACGGTTTCCCTTTCCTTCTACTTTCTGTTATAAAACATATCAAATAATAATGCCAGGACAGTACGAACACACCAAAAAATGACCTCGTTTTTGGAAAGTGGATACCCATTTAATTTTTTGGCAACTGAGAAACATGCTGGCATTGAAGTTGTTAAACTGTAACCCCTTCCTTCCTGCGCTGGCCTCCCAGTGGCAGTCACTGTGGTCACATGATCGGGAACTATTCCATCCAGCTACTGACCATTAGTCCAGACTGAGAGCTGCCATTGACAGCGTGGTTTCTGTACTGTGAGTGCGCTCTGAGCACAGAAACATTGGCTGCCCAGCGGCGCATATTTGCAGTATGTGGACGAAGCAGCAACTGGTTAAAATTCACCCACTAAATACAGTACAAGTCTTCTGTTATTAGAGGATGAAAAAAAAAAATACAATAAAATAAAATGCATTTCAGTACACTGAAATTGCATTGTGTGCTATTGGATGTGATGTATTGACCCCCCACCCAAAAAAAAAAGGAAAAAAAAAAAAAACAATTGCGCAATTTAACCACTTCAAGTCCAGACACTCTCACCCCCTTCCTGTCCAGGCCAATTTTCAGCTTTCAGCGCTATCACACTTTGAATGACAATTGCGTGGTCATGCAACACTGTACCCATATTAATTTTTTAGCATTTTTTTTGAGACAGATAAAGCTTTATTTTGGTGGTATTTATTCACCACTGGGATTTTTAATTTTTTTGCTATGTAAATGAAAATGTCCAAAAATTTTGAAAAAAAGTGTTTTTCTTAAAAAAGTTTGCAAATAAATAATATTTCATCATAAATCTTGGCCAAAATGTATTCAGTTATCTTTTTAGTAAAAAAAAATAAACCCAAATTAGTTTATAACCAAAAATTATTGTTTTTAAACCTTTTTTTACATTTTTATTTTTTTTTTTATATTATTATTTTTTTTTTTTGGGTTTTTTTTTTACATACTGTCACCCTAGCAATACAGTGTCACCATGGTAACACTGTACTACTTGTGAGGGGTGAGGAAGATTTTTTTTTTTTACACTGATTGCTTTTATACCCATAAAGGCTGTAAAGGCAATCATTTCTCCTTCTCTCTGCATTCTTGCAGCCATTTAGAACTATTGTGTGAGCTGTGATTGGTCACAGCTTGTCACATGGTACAAGGCTGTTGTGAATAGCCTTGTACCATGTGACCTCTGCGATCATTCACAGATTTCACACGTAGTAAGCAATGATGTCAGAAGTGACATCTTGCTTACTACTCTGCATGTGATCACTGATTGGTCAATCAGAGATCACATGATTGGGACCTTGCAGAGAGGTGCCGTACGACGATCGGTGTTCCACTGTGCCCGGAGGACACAGCGGGCACCGGATCACGGGGAGCGCGCAAAAGCAGGGGGCGGGGAGGCCGTTTATAAATGGCCACCCGACCTGCACTGCCACCATCCGGCTGTTTATATATAATGGCCGGACGGGAGGTTGTTAAAACTCCCCACCCCCAATTATTAATGGTCAGTGCACTGTAACACCCCCCCATGTCAGAAATTATTATTATTATACAGGATTTATATAGCGCCAACAGTTTTCTCAGCGCTTTACAATATAACGGGAGACAATACAGCAACAATACAGTTCAATACAAGAGGGTTAGGAAGGCCTGATCCTGGGAGCTTACAATCTAAGAGATCTGTGTATGTATACATTTTTAGCAGATCTTTCCCCTTACAGCTCACACAGACCCCCTTATCATGACGGTAATCCAGGGGGGGACTGACCATTTGGAAACTCGGGCACTGCCCGAGGGCCCAGGGTCAGTAGGGGGCCCCATGAGATGTCCCTGGTACCTTTTTCATAGGCTTTTTTGAGTTTGGGCAAGGACACAGGGGCCCCATGATCCCCTATTGCCCGGGGGGCCCATGAGTTGTCAGTCCGCCCCTGCAATAATCATTCCAGAACCTGATGAATGCAGCTCTCAGTGGTCACAGATGGAGGAGCGCCCCGTGAGCACCCCGGGATTCTCAGCGCAGACTTTGCCCTCCTCTGCCCTGGGTTCCCTGTCACACAGCAGGCTGGCTGTACGTTATGCAGTCTGTTTGCGTATAATCTTTTCTGTTTGTGTAAGATGGTCAACACAAATCCCCCGCAGGATTCTGGGAAGGGAAAGGCATGTCTGAAATACTTTCCACTGGCTGCGCCGTACATCACAATCTCCCTTTCCTGAGCTGTAATGTTTTAGGAAGGTTCTATGTTTAGCTGCCCTCTATGAAAGAGATCATTGTAACACCTGGATACCGAGTATGGGAGGGCCGGGGTGTGCAGGGGATAATGTCTCCTCTCTCTATAAGGCCCCATGTATACGGGACGCTTTGCAAACTCTCCTAGAAGCCTTTCCTCCTGGCAGCAGAAAAAACACGTGACGCTTGTAAAAGCATTTCGAAGCATTTATAGCAGGGCCGGATCTAAAGTAACTGTACTTGCAGTGCACAGTATACAGGCGTACCTCGGTGTACCAACGCCTCGGTTAACGTAATAGTCGGTTTAGGAATGAAAATCCATTGAAAATAACACCTCGGTTTACGATTTTTTTGCTAATTTTTTTTGCAATACGAAGTGTATGTGTCAGGGAATGGGAAGATCGCCGCAGCGATCGAATCTGCACATGCGTAGAATCCTGACAAAACGCACAGGCAGGCGGGCACTAGGACCCAGGCGCGCCTGTCACAAATAACGGTGCTGGGCAAGCACTAGGACCCAGGAGCGCCTGTCAGGAGTCGGGCGGACTATTTAAACCCGGCTCTTGCAATGCTCAAGTGCCATATGGTCTTATCTGTGTTCCTGAGTTCCTGTGAGTAGATTGTTTGTTGCCGACCCTGCCTGACCCTGATTTGCTGACCCTTCCTGACCCTGATTTGCTCTCCGTCTCCTGCTCTCATCCCTGGCTTTGTCTGACCATTCTCCTGCTTAACCCCGTACGTTCTGACCTCCTGTTGATGGACCCGGCTTGTGACCTGTTTATCCCTCTGCCTGCTGATTCTGTACTACACCGCCACCACTGTTACCGACCCGGCCTGCCCGACGCTGCTTCAGTTACCTCCTCACGTCAGACTCTTACCCGCTATACACCTTCAACGGTGCCTCTACCACAGTTGGGTGAACCCAGGGGCCGCGACCTGGTCTCGGCCTGCTCCAAGTCCATCCCCACCATCAGGGGCTCTGGTGAACAAGCAGGTCGGAGCTTAGATTCCGCGCCTTGGGGGATTCCGGTCTGTGGAGTGCTAGAGGCTACCACTGCAGGATCCCTGACAGTATGTCTCGCGTACTGTCTCCCATTATAATGTACAGCGCTGAGCAAATTGTTGGTGCTTTATAAATACTGTATAATAATAATTATGTTGATTTTTAAATGCAATTGCCTGCTTTCTTTTTTTTCACTATAGTTCACAGAATTAGCTGTCACTTTCCCCAGAGCTAAAAGATACTTCCTTTCTTTTATCTTGGGAAACAAACTAAAAGGAAACTTTCTTTCTTTTAGCTCTGGGGAAAGTGATAGCTAATTCTCTGAGCTATAGTGAAGAAAAAAAAAAAGACGGTAATTGCATTTAAAAACCGGCACTGACCTATAATGACAGTGACTTTTTTTTTTTACTTTTTTCTGACCTCCGGAATGGATTTCAATGCGCGTTTCGGTTTACAAATTTTTCGCAATACAAAACGTCCTGGAGAACGCATTAAATTCGTAAATGGAGGTACACCTGTACTTACCTTTAGTAAATGGGCAGCACAGTGGCTAAATGGTTAGCACTTCTGCCTGGCAGTACTAGGGTCGTTGGTTTGAATCCAAACCACAGCACCACCTTCCTTGAGTTTGCATATTCTCCCTATGCCTGCGTGGATTTCCTCCAGGTACTCTGGTTTCCTCCCACACTCCAAAGACATGCTGGTAGGTGAATTGGATCCTGTCTAAACTGTCCCTAGTATGTGTATGTATGAGTGTGAGTTAGGGACCTTCGATTGTGCACCCCTTGAGGGTTAGGGACTGATGTGAATGTACAATATATATGCAAAGTGCGGTGTAAACTGATGGTGCTATATAAGTACCTGTAATAAATAAATATATCAACCCCAATGTGTTCATAGACACATAGGCTATCATGCAGGGGAGTTTAGAGGCAGGAAAAAAAAAACGCCTGATGTCCCTAAGAGCAGCTGCAAAAAACATCCAGTGTGCAAGAGGCCTTAAGTAGGGCTTCATATTATATATTTGTTTTACAGATGGTTAGCAGGAAAGGATAGGGCTTTGCACATCAGAACGGCTTGCATAATGACAGGGACTTCATGTACGTGCAGGGGACTCTACGTGTCTATGCTTTATACTTGTGCAGCTGGGGCGGACTGACCATTTGGAAACTCAGGCACTGCCCGAGGGCCCGGGGTCAGTAGGGGGCCCCATGAGATGCCCCTGGTACCTTTTTCATAGGCTTTTTTGAGTTTGGACAAGGACACAGGGGCCCCATGATCCCCTATTGCCCGGGGGCCCCATGAGTTGTCAGTCCGCCCCTGTTGTGCAGCCCCGTTTTTTGATGAGGAGGGTTACAAGAAATAGCCCTCCCCAAGCAGGATATTACACTAAACCTGTAGATAAATAAGAGAAGCAGAACCTTCACTAAGTGGAAGAATGGGTTTGATGATAAAGTTGGCAGTGCCTCCACCCAGGTCAGACAGGATTCCCTTCCTGGGAAATTAACCAGTAATCTAATCAACGTAATTGGGAGCAGAAGAACTACAGCAACCAGCATATAACATTAACAAGTGTGTAGATACTCATCAATATAGAAATAATACAAGCTTTATATAAGAAGAGATTAATACCTGTACATACTTTACATCCAATGTGCAGCAAGAGTCCTAGCGGAATTGTGCACATATACCCGGGTATACATAGTTATTCCTAGAAATATCTCCAGATGAATGCTGCAGCAAAGGCCATTTGCAGGGGCCCTGAAGATGATGCGGTGTCTGTCTTTGAGTCAGACACCTGAAGACAAGATCAGCAGCTAGGGGGTATCCTCCAACTGTTTTGTGACCAGCCTGGAATGGAAATTTTCACCAGCAGGAACTGTGGTGTGGCACTGGAACTCAGAGTCAGCCTCTCTACTCTGCACTTTAGTCTCTCCCTAGTAGTGTATCATAGTCTCTTCTGGTCCAGGATTTAGTAGAATGAAGGAAGGACACGTGGCTGAGTCTTCCTTCCCACTTCCTCCTTCCTGGCTTTCAAAGCCAATGACCAGGGGCAGGAAGTGCATACATAATATATTTACAGGCATTTACAAATTCAGACAGTAGAGGGCAGCAGATCATTACGCCTGCTAACATTTTTTTTTAGTTCACTGAAAGGCTTGCTTTAAAAGGAATGCATAGCTTTTTCAGCATTTCCTTAGATATGCAGCATGCTATATCCATGATTGAGCACTGTGTTGAGTAGGGTGCCTTCTTATTAGGGTATATGCATCATGCCCAAGCATGATTGACCCTCAAAGTCTTGTTGGAGTATTGTGATCGCTCTGTACATTGCTGGGACAGCATGCCCAGTGCACCATGCCCAGACCTGCTTGAAAGAGGTGGTTCAGGTGTTTCTGTAACACCAAGCTTCATACTGCTGAACCTCATACAGTTGGTTGTCTACAGCCTTTGTTTTGTATCTCTCCCTTAATGTACCCGGAAATTACTGAACACCCATTGTACTGTATTAGAATTCTTGTTGTAAACACATCGTCTGGTTTAGCATTTCATGCATGTATGTGTGTTATGCTTCAACAAAGCTCTTGTGGAAGGAAGAGATTCAGTTCAGCTTACATACTTAAAGAGGCAGTAGGTCAGACAAATATACATAACAGTATGTATGATAACACAAACCATGTCTCACAAAACATTCTCATGGATCAACTGGGAGCTCACGGAGCACAGACGTAGGAAGATCATTGTGGTCTGGCTAGCAGGGCAGGTGGTGATGTAAACTGTACCGTATTTTCCGGCATTTAAGATGACTTTTTTTACTTAAAAACATATCCCAACAATTGGGGGTATGTTGGGATCATTGTCCTTAAAGGTCCAACGTCTCCCAAGCCTCAGGTGTGTGACGGGCATCACGTTTCCAAATATCTCCTGGTACTGAAGAGAATTCATGGTACCTTGCACACGCTGAAGCCTGTACCTGCAGAAGCAAAATAACAGCGGTAATGACTGTATGGTAGCTTCAGCTACATAGGTGTGTATCATAGGCGCGCTGAGCCAATCCCACAGCGAGCGATGTATTCTATTAATGAATACAGACCTGCTCGGATTGGCTGAAGGCCTTGTGACGCATCATCAGCTGGGCTGAAACTTCTGTACCCTCTGAAAAGCCAATCACACGAGCAGGTCAGCATCTTCTTTCTGCCACGACCAGTAGCGTTTCAACAGTGCCCTAATTTGCGAATGATGCTCTAAGGTGTCTCTTGGTATGTTTAACATCTTTGCAATCTTGCCATGCCCTTCCTGTGAAGAGAAATCACCTCTTCTCTCTGTCATTCCTGGACGTTCCTTGCCTTCACCATGTCTCCACACATGTCTAGAAGGAGCGAGTATCGATGCGCTGTGTTATTATGCCTCGGACAAAGCTATCACCGATCACGGAAAGAGCCGAAGATGCCGGCTCGGTCATGTGATCAGCTGTGTCCAATCACAGCTGATCACAATGTAACTATAGTCACAGCATTGGGGGTTGAAATTTTGGTCACAACTGTATGCTTCAACAAAGCTCTTGTGGAAGGAAGAGATGCCGTTGTACTCGCAGCATTTGTCTGATCTCTCTGAGCTGTCACACTGACGTACATTGTGGTCTGAGCAGAGCGGTGATGAGAGCCGGCATATATCGGCTTT